TACAAGCGAGATAATCAGTTCCCGCCCAAGGTCAAGAACCTCGAGATCGTTGTTGACCAGAAGAACGGAACTATCATCTTGCCCGTCATGGGCCGGCCGGTTCCCTTCCACATCCACACCATCAAGAATGCCAGCAAGAACGACGAGGGCGAGTGGTCATACCTCCGGATCAACTTCCTGTCGCCTGGTCAAGGTGTTGGCAAGAGAGACGACCAGCCATTTGAGGATGCAACTGCTCAATTTGTGCGGAGCTTGACATTCCGATCGCTCAACGGCGACCGCTACGACGAGATTGCGACTCAGATCGCCAACATGAAGAAGGAGACGTCCAAGAAGGAGCAGGAGAAGAAGGATATGGAAGATGTCGTAGAGCAGGAGAAGCTGGTCGAAATAAGAAGTAAGTCGGTCCCAGCCAGGTTACCCAGCCTTGAGACTAACTTGCAACAGATCGTCGCCCCGCGGTGCTCGACAATGTCTTCATCCGTCCGGCCATGGAAGGCAAGCGTGTTCCCGGAAAGGTTGAGATTCACCAGAACGGTATCCGATATCAGTCACCGCTTAGCACGCAGCAGCGCGTTGATGTTCTGTTCTCCAACATCCGGCACATCTTCTTCCAGCCTTGCGACCACGAGCTGATTGTAGTCATTCACGTTCACCTGAAAGACCCCATCATCGTCGGCAACAAGAAGAAGACCAAGGACGTCCAGTTCTACCGAGAGGCGACCGACATTCAGTTCGATGAGACTGGCAACCGGAAGCGCAAGTACCGGTACGGCGACGAGGACGAGTTCGAGGCCGAGCAGGAAGAGCGCCGCCGCCGCGCCGAGCTCGACCGGCAGTTCAAGGCTTTTGCCGAGAAGATTGCCGAGGCTGGCAGGAGCGAGTCTCTCGAGGTCGACATGCCCCTGCGCGAACTTGGTTTCCACGGTGTGCCCTTCCGCAGCAATGTCTACATTCAGCCCACCACAGACTGCCTCATCCAGGTCACCGAGCCACCCTTCCTGGTTGTCACCCTTGAGGATGTCGAGGTTGCTCACCTCGAACGTGTGCAGTTTGGTCTGAAGAACTTTGATATGGTCTTTGTCTTCAAGGACTTCACACGCGCGCCTGCGCACATCAACACGATACCCGTCGAGTCCCTGGAAGATGTCAAGGAGTGGCTGGACTCGTCGGACATTGCGTACAGCGAGGGACCGCTGAACCTCAACTGGCCTACGATCATGAAGACGGTCACAGCAGATCCTCACCAGTTCTACGCTGATGGCGGTTGGTCTTTCTTGCAGGCAGAGAGCGACGATGAGGACCAGGATGAGGATGATCAAGAATCAGCCTTCGAGATTGATGAGTCTGAGCTTGAGGAAGCTAGTGAATCCAGCGAGGAGGATTCCGATTTCGATAGCAACGCATCGGATGAGGCCAGCGAGGAAGGCTCAGATGACGACGACGAGGGCGAGGACTGGGACGAGATGGAGGAGAAGGCCAAGAAGCGGGATCGCGAGAGCGGCTTGGCGGAGGAAGACAACCGTGGCAAGAAGAAGAGAAAGCACTAATGCGACGTGCTGCGTGCTGCGGAAGACTGCCTTGAGGCTGCTCTCACGCAGTGAGAGGTAGCGCCAACGAGGCTGAGTCCATGTATAATGCTGTTGCCAAGTAATGGGCTGCTGAGTGGCTTCTCCGCAGGCAGGACCGGCATTGGCCAGTCCGACGAGCGTGCCAGCGGGAGAGCTACGGGTGGCGCAAACAGGAGTTAGAGAATGAATTTGACGGCCGACTGTTTTCCAATTGCCCCGGCCTTGTCTCGTGATCGACATCTGACCGACGCAACGAAGGAGGTAAGCTTTGCGTCTTGCTTGGTCATGCCGAACTGGGCCTTGTGGGAGCTGGCCAAGAAGCCAAGAAGCCAAGACGCGAGCGCTGGGGTTGGCGAGACGAGATTGGCAGAGAGCGCGGCTGGCCAAGACCAGGTGCTCCGTCGAGCCAAGAGAACCAAGAACCTTGGGCCACCGAGCAGGAAACGCAGACAGGCTGCCCGCGCCCAGCAGTCCGCGTGTTGCCCTAATCTTTGCTAACTCACTGATGCCAAGTCGCAGGCCCCATGCTCACGCTGCGACAAGCCGAATTAGAGTAGGCAGACCATAAGGCAATAAAGTGGGAAGGCGCACCCGCCCGCGCCTTGTCGTCCTTTTTAACTCGACCTCTCTTGCTACCCTCCGCTGTTTTGTGCTCGCCGCCGCCGCCTCTCTCGGTAATCTAGCTTGCCTTTTCCTGATCTCTCCTGTTCGGATCATCTCGTCGAAAAAACATAGCAGCTTTTCGCAAGCCCGAAGCAGCCGAATGTCCCAACTCTTTGGCCGTGTCCGGAATAAGCTGTCGGGTAGTCAATCCGATATCGATCCCCACCATTGGCGCCTCCCGCCTGTTTCTTCCTACACAACCCCAAAGCCAGGGACCAGTAATGACGGCAGCGGCATCAAGAAGCAGCACAAGCAGACTCTCATCCCAGACCCGCAAGTCTTCAAGAATGCCTTCATCCCCGCCGACCCCGAGGCTGGTCTCGGCTCGGCCGGCAGCGCCCCGGCCACCGCGCTGAGCAGCAGCAGCAACGACGACCCTATCTACCCAGACGTGAGCCATGCTGCACTGCATCTTGCGCTCCTCGAGTGCTTCCACGGGCTCCGCCACAGCGCTGATGCTCTCGACATCGAAGTGCTCAAGTCCCATACCCAACACCACAGCCTACGCCACCAGCAATCGCAGCCCTGGCCTCAGCCACCTACTTACAGTGAGAAGCCCAGCATCTTGGAGCTCGTCTCGAGTGGCTCAAAGATGGCCTCTGTGGACACGCAGCCGGACGCTGAAGCTGGCGCCGCAGCTAGTCATCACGACCTCACGCATGGCGGCCGCGAGGGCGACGATGGTCTCAAACAGAACGACTCAGAGAGCGCGCAGAAATGGAACCTTCTAGTCCGCCTGGCCGTTGACCGCTTCGAAGTCTGGTGGCGCTCCATCGCCAAGGTCCTTCAGCACGCCACCGTCTACACGCACCTGCGACATCCCAAGGCAGCCGTGCAGCTGAGCGAGAACTATCTTCCGCCGCTCGACGTGCTCCTCGTCTGGTACGTGTTCATGCTACACGGCGATGGCGATGCGTATGCCTCTGCCTGTCGCGACCACCGAGACGTGCCTCGCCTGCAGCACTTGTGTTTTCCCTGGGAAGCCCTGCGCGCCGTCATCGACACCAATGCCCAAGGCCACGCTCCTCGCCAGCCTGGCCAGCTGCCACGGGCGGTCACCTCGCCAACGTCACCCACGTTCCATACTGCTCCTGCTGGTCCCACTTCCTCTTGGTCGGGATTTGCTTACAATCTCCCACGAGCGGCCCAGGCTTTATTCCGGACCTTGAGTTCACAGGATGCTGATGTAACTGTGTACCTGGAGAAGCCGCCCCCGTACGTAGAGGACCACTCGCCTGCAGCTTTCGATGGGATCGACCTGTATGAGGAAGTCAGGAAGCTCTTCACCACAAACGCCGCTCTCACTTCCACAGTCGGATTTGTGGACGAGGCCCATGACTTGCTCTGGATTCGCTCGCCAAGCCTCGTTGGTACCTTGACGCGCAACATCAGAGACTATTTTGACAGCCTCCTCAGTGGCCAGTTTGATTCGGCTGGGCTGACCTCGGATCCTGCCGATGACATGAGTCCAATACGCTTTCCGCATATCCCGTTTGGGGTTAATCTGCTGTGGCGGACACATCGCCTATATCCCATCCAATACCGCTTGTTCTACGAAGCAAAGCGAGGCCAGCTGTCGGCGGGCCAGCGACTGGTACCTGTGGACGATACTCTGGCCCTTAGGAGCGGCTTTGATGGAGGCATCGAGGAAGGCCCTGAGGAAGAATTCAGCACCGTCCGGGAGCAGATCAGTATCAGCTTTACACCAAAGAAACCGATGTGCCTATGTTGGACATGCGAACGCATCCGCGACGACGCTCCAGATTTTGCATACCTCAAGACTATTCCGCCGACGACTTCATCGTGGCCCTTCTCACCCACCCAGTCGGCAGCATCTGCATCTTGTCCATCCTCGTCTTCCGAGTCTGTGTCGTCTTCTATTGACGGAGGCGATCCCACTTCATCGACATCCTCCTCATCAACGTCGCAGCAGCTGTCGACCACCATGATATCACGCTACGACCCGCTGCTCATGCAGGGGCTCAGCGGGGATCAACTTAGGCGAATCCAGGACGACGTCGCTTTCCACCGTGCTGTGGAGAGCAGGCGGGCCGCGCGGGAACCCCTGCCTACGCGCGCCATGACTGCGGCGGAGAAGGACGAGGCTAAGAGGAGGAAGCAGAATCGGTATATTCCGGGGCTCTGATCTTGCACTGGCGGTGGAAGTCTGTCGCCGAATCGAGGCTTTCAATCTATTGTGTTTTGTGTTGTAGTATATTTCAGCGTAGCCTGTAATGATGATGGTTTGAACAGTTTCAACCGTCGTGAAGTCAGGAATCATTTTCTTTCGTCTGCACACTCTGTTCATTCTCGTGGGCTCAGGCAAGACGAATAACTCGCTATTAGATATACACTTACGTACGTTCGTCCAGTTTAATTTGGTACAAATACCGTACAGTAGCCTTCTGCGCCCTCTGTGCCCTTTACGTACCTGTCCTAGGAGACGGAGGGAGGGAAGGGGGGTTTAGTCGTCATATAGTAGGGTTTTGATTCGCCTCAAGCTTATGCCTTGAATACAAATACCCCGTCTAAAACTGGGGGTATGCCTAGGACCAAAAAACGTTCCGAGACAGTCTGCGCTATGGTCCACCGTAACACCGGGAGGAAGGAGCGCATCGGGACTCGGGTAAGACGTACGGCGGCATGCACGACATCGCGGCTTAACAACACACGTTACAGCATCACCAACCGGACGACAACGCAGCAAAACACTACGTTAATACGCAGAAAAACGAAAAAAAAAAGTATGGAACATGTCCGTGGTGATCCCTCGGACCGGAATCGAACCGGTGACATTCAGATTTTAAATCTTCTCGCAAGGAGAAGCCAATTACAGTCTGACGCGATAACCAACTACACCACCAAGGGGGGCTGGTCAAAGAACAGTTGAACTGTTCGTCGAGGCTTTGTTGTTGGATGCCGGCCATTTATAGCAGTATATAACAGCATTTACAAACAAACCAGCCAATTCTGTCTCTTCTGCGCCTGGAAGACACTCGTCAGGATGCAGAGAAGTCCCAAGCCAACGATAAGGCCTTGCAACAGAACTTGATTGCTCAATCCCAAAAGTCAGGAGTATGACGTGAGCTCGAGCCGCAATTTTGGAGAATGGCTCAAACAGGACTGGCCGCCTAAGTACTCGGCAGCTTCTCACCAATTGCCCTTAAATACAGATGGCCGTCCAGTATAGCTCGACCACATGAAGATGACTACAAGGTCGGAAATACTTCTGTCCGATCAGCAAACAGGTGGATTTTCAATTACGCTTTCGGAGAACTCGCTCTTGTACAGCTGCACGGAAGATACCCAAATGCTGCTGCGAATTGTTTCGTGAGTTGACTTTGACCAGCATGAAAGAAAACTTTTGTCTATGCTGATTCCCATGCTTCGCCCACCTTTCCCACACCAAACCAATGCCCCTCAGGAGAGACCGAAGATGAGACCACCGTTGGCCCCAACGACGGAGCCGGTGAGCCACTGGCTGTCTGGCCCGCACAGCATGGCCGCGATACCCGCCACCTCGCTCGTGTAGGCCGGCCGGCCGCCTCCGGTCCTGGCCTCCTCGACCACCTCAGGCGGGTCGACGCCCTCGCGCGCCTGCATGCCTGGGGTGTGCTGGAGCCAGCCCTTGATCTCGCGCTTGAAGGCGTCGCTGTTCTTGGAGTACATGGGGCCCTCGACGGGGCCCGGGTTGATGGCGTTGACGGTGCAGCGCTCGCTGAGCTCGCGGGCCCAGGTGCGGGTCATGGCCTCGATGGCGGCCTTTGTGCCGCCGTAGACGCTCTGCTCGATGAAGCCAGTCGTGCTCGAGATGGACGAGATGTTGACGATGCGGCCGGATCGGTCGTGCGGCAGGTACGGCTCCGCGGCCTGGGTGAGGAGCAGCGGGCCGAGGACATTGACGCGGTAGCTGATGTCGAACTGGTCCGGTGTGATCTTGGGGAGCAGGTTGTTGTGGGCCACGCCGGCGTTGTTGATGAGGATGTCGATCTGGAACGAGCCGTCCTGGTTCGCGGCCTTGTCCTTGAGGGCGGCGATGAAGGCTTTGGGGCCCTCTACTGTGCCCAGGTCGGCCTGCACTGGGAATGTGCGGATGTTGTGTTGCGATGAGAGCTCCTTGGCCAGCTCTTCTGTGATTGTCCGGGACGACTCTGAGGTGTAGCCAAGAGCAACGTTGGCACCGTAAGAGGCGATCTTCTGGGCAATGGCCTTGCCGATGCCTAGCTTCTGTCAATAAGTGCACACACAGGTTGTCCGCAACCCTGAGGGCCGGTGAAAACCACTCTGAACTTACCTCGAGAGGCACCAGTCACGATGGCCAACTTGCCAGCGAGAACACGGCTCATGATGAGAGGAGTGCTGGGGCCGTACTTGAAACGTCTGTGTATAAGTCAATCAGGCCAGCCGGCGACTGGAAGAGAGATACAGGCATGACCTACGGTAGTCTAGCGGAGTATTTCACGGACACCTGCAATAAGACGAGCAGGAGAGGGAAGCAGCAATGTCTAGACCACGTCTCGGAAGGGACACGATTTTATTTATGCGACAGACTACCTGCGATCACACGATAGCCTGCTGCCGCAGCAACACACCGTGAGCTGGTTCCGACAAGAGTCGCCGCCCCGCAGCGGAGCGGTTGAATGCCCCAAGACATGCGCTCCAATGACGAGCTGGGCGCCCTGAAGCTCTCCCGGGGCGGCCTATTGCGACCCCGATAGTGAAGAGTCCCCGGCTGGCCCTCTAAAGTGGTCGGCTCGGGGTCGTGCCCCGCGCATCTGATTCCGCTCATCGGCCGGCGCCCGGTTGTACCTGTGTACCTGGGTACCTCGAACCCCACTACCGACGCCGGGGAGCACGAGCAGCTGGCCTTCCACAGAGCTAGAGGTGGCATTTATTTCGTGACGAGGCTCCAAGACAACGTGCAGAGCGCAAAGGACAGCAACCACACCCCGCGATCCCACGAGCTATACACCATCGATTGACGAGCCAAAGCAGTGCCACAACCCGCAAACGATAGCTCTGCCCAGCTTCCGCCGTCACGACCGCAGCGTTCCACACACACACACACAGCACCGCAGCCATGGACATCCGGCGCCTCGAGCCCAGCGACATCCCGCTCATCCAGCATGCCAACCTCGAGAACCTGCCCGAGAACTACTTCATGAAGTACTACCTCTACCACGCGCTGTCATGGCCCCAGCTGTCCTACGTTGCCGTCGACGTCTCCCGGCCGCCCAAGACGCCCTACGACTACCCCAAGATCGTCGGCTACGTGCTCGCCAAGATGGAGGAGGAGCCCACCGACGGCGTCCAGCACGGCCACATCACCTCCCTCAGCGTCATGCGGACGCACCGGAGGTTAGGCATTGCCGAGAAGCTCATGCGCCAGAGCCGTAAGTGTTTTTTTTTGTATTTTTTCTTCCCGTCGGGACGCGCGGCGGGGATGGCACGTGTAGTGCCTACACGACTCATTTTATTTGCTAACACTACCAAACCCCTCGAAAACACAGAGCTCGCCATGGTTGAGACCTTTGGCGCCCAGTACGTCTCCCTGCACGTGCGCGTGTCCAACAAGGCCGCGATCCACCTCTACACCAAGACGCTCGGCTTCGACCAGGAGAAGCCAGAGCCCAAGTACTACGCCGACGGCGAGGACGCGCACTGCATGAAGCTCGACCTATCGACGATCCGGGAGCAGGTGCAGGACGCCCGCGACGCCGAGGGCGGCGACAGCGAGGCCGAGGACGAAGGGGAGCCCGTCGGCGAGGCCGGTGCTGCCAAGGACTCGACACTGCCCAGCCGGCCGAAGGCTGATAATAAGCGCAAGGTCAAGGTCGGCAGACACCTTGGTGTCGCTGGGCTGGTGGAGAAGGACGAGAGCAAGCAGGCTTAGGCAGCCTGCGAGTTCGGTCTAGGAAAATGCCAGACGTGAGGTCGTCCAGGGCACAGCTGCATCATCACCCACGCCCGGTGTGGTTGCTTACTATAACCATACGTGCAGTGTACTATCACTGCCAGGCCCCGAGTCCTAGATCTGAGACTATCCTGTGAAGAAATGGTGGCATACGAGTCACGGTGCCAGCGCACCGCTGTTGGAAGGGGAACATATAGTATAACACCACTACGAAGTCTACGACACGATGGCTGTTTTATCATGATAGCATCTAGGCAAGGCGCACAGGACATAGATAAAATTGGAGGTCGAAAGATATCAGATATCCTAGCATGTGATTTGTCTGTACGAGTTGAATGAAATAACTGCCCCTGAAGACACTGCCATAATACGGTTCAGGGTAGCTGTTGAGCCAACAGCTTATGATATCTGTCACTTCTCGGACTCTATCCGCACCTGTCACACACGAGAACGACTTCCCTCAGCACAATCAACATATAATTATCATTAGTCGAATACTCATGCAGGTGGCATTCGTCCCTGAGCTCAATCCTTCTCTAGAATCCTCGCGGCCTCCTCATCTGCCTCGACTCTCAGCCTCTCTACATTACGCAGCATACTCTCCATGTCACGCTCAAGCGCCTCGGCCTCGATTTGGGTGGCGGTCTTGGCGTTCCTTTGCCCTTCTTGTGTCTTTGTCTGATACTCCAGCAGGGACAGCTGGGCGACCTTATCAGCAATTTGTGCCTCGAGCCTGTCTGCTGCCCGGTGTTTGTCGTCGACGATAGACAGGTCGCCAAGATCAAGGTCCATATCTTGCTGGGTGTGGTCGTTGTCGGCCATGTGGATTTCCAGGTTGTCGCTGTCATGATCTTCACGGGCGTCAGATGATGGGTGTTGTTGTCGTTCTTGATACTGTTGCTGTACTACAGTGGTTTGTGGCTGCGGCGGCCAGGCGCCAGGAATATGCTGTTGGCGGTGGTGCTCATGGTCGTAATCGTGATCATGCGGCGCCGACCACAGATTTCCTCTCCCGCCAGAACCAGGTCCGCTTCTGCTGAAGCTTTGTCCTGGTCCATGAAGACCGGGAATGTCGCTCGTATGACCGCGGTAACTTGGAGCCCCGAACGGTAGGCCGGGACCACCAAGACCCCTTGGACCTCCACGGTAGCTGGGCGAGGCGACGTGCGGGTGGACTGGATCAGGCGCTACATAGACATTTGGATGCACGTGTACATGGGGGACTTGTACATGTGGCACATGGACCTCTGGTACCTGCGGTCCCTGGTGAGGCGCCCACCAGGAAGAAGGACCACCACCCCTTCCGAGGCTTCCAAATGGACTCCAGCCACCACGGTGCTGTACTACTCCACCCCTCCCCCGACTTGGACCGCTCTGAGACCAATGGCACCGGCGCGCGTCCTCTTGCTGCCGGAGAAGCTCGTCTCTCGCCCGCTGCTGCTGCTCCCGTTCCATCTCCTGCTGTCGCAGCTGCTCCTCTCGCTGTCGCTGCTGATTTTGGAGCTGGACATCGCGTTCGCGGTGTTGCTGTTCTCGTATCTGCTCCTGTTGCCGCCGCTGATCTTCCCTCACGCTGTTTCGACCTTCTCCTCGTCCCTCTTTCCGGCGTGAGCGCTCTGCTGATCTTGTAGCGCGCTTCTCCGCCCGGATGGCCTTCTTCTGCGTCCTCTTCTCTCGTCTCGCGGCCTTCCGCACCGCTCGCCGTTGCTTTTTGTCCGACCTTCGTTGCTTCTTCTGGTCCTTCTTCAGCCTCTCCCACGAGGCCATGAGAATTTTGACCTCCTCGCGTAGCCGTGCTGTCTCCGCAGTCTGGACTTCGTCGTAGGTTGGCGGGGGCGGCCGGTGGTCATCGTTTGCTACTCCTGGTATTTGCTGCGTGCCTTGCTCACGACTTGACCTTGCCATCGCCGTTGGTGATCTTGCTGTTGGTGCCCGCTTCGCACTTTTGATGTCG